GACTTTAGGAGATGATGAAAGTTCTGTATATCTTTCGTTCCAATTCAAATAGCAGAACTTTTGAGACAGATATGCTTAATGTATGACAACATCTCTGATTTCACAAGATATGATGACGACCATGACCCCGAACACGGTGAAGAAGAAGTTTTACAAACATCCATTAAGACAGGAAAGGTTTTAACTCAAAGTCTCATTATTGACACCAAAGATGGCGAAGTGGACGTTCTTCAAGAGCTGAAGAAAAATACTTCTTCGGGAGGTGGTGGTAGGCATGAACTTGAAATAAATGAGATAGAAGAGAAATTAGCCGAAAAAGCAGATAAAGAACATAAACACAATATCTCCGATATAAATGAACTTCAAGCTACATTAAATAGTAAAGCGGACAAAAATGAACTTGACGCAACGAACAAAGTTTTGAAATCTCATAAACACAATATCTCCGATATAAATGAACTTCAAACTTCTTTAGACAATAAAGCAGACAAAAACCATGTTCATTATATAAGTTCTGATGAACAGATTATAACGGACTATCATGGATATTTAACACAGGGTGAAAAAGTGAATACGAAAAATGTTAATGAAAGAAGATATAAATTCATTCGTGCTAAAGGTTATGACATACACTGTACTGTACAGTATGACACAGGTATAGCACCACAATCATTTGGTTATAACGCTGAAATTTATGCTTCATACTTCTTTGTTAACGGTGTATTAGTTGAACCAAGATTTACTTTGAGAGTTAAGTCAAAAATAACTTTTGAAGATGCTATTAAAAGTAAAGCTGACAAAACAGAACTTGACGCAACGAACAAAGTTTTGAAATCTCATAAACACAATATCTCCGATATAAATGAACTTCAAACTTCTTTAGACAGTAAAGCCGACAAAATCATACACATAAATCCTTCACTACTGTTAGAGCAGACGACATAATATTGAACTATACCCTTGGTTCAAGTGCACCTTTAGAGAATCCAAGTACAAGCGTAAAGATACTCTTTAAAATAACAAAGTTGAATATCGAAGGTCATGCCAGAAACTTTGAAGCATATGAACTACCAGCAATGTTAGACAGTAAAGCCGACAAAACTTATGTGGATACAGAACTAACAAAGAAATTTTCGAAACCAGATACAATGACATTTACAACAGAAATTATAAATGGTGAACCAGCAACTCCATTTGAATTTGTTAGAGGTCTTCAACCAGATACTTTTGAATTTTTCTTGGATAATTCTATTGAACTAACATTACATTATAAAAGTGGAACAAATGCAACATTTCATCCGGGAGATACATTCCAAATGGTATTTAATGACATAAGTTCTTTAGAATATGTTTATAGAGTTATGAGCATATATGATTTAATATATCCTATAGGAGCTGTTTATACGTCTATGAATCCAATAAATCCAAACACTTTATTTGGTGGTAGATGGTATGAAATAGTTGACAGTTTTCCATTCTACACTAATACGCAGTCAATGAAGATGGGAGGTTCAAAGAAAATAGGTATTGAAAACCTTCCTTCACATATGCATAGGTTCAGTGGAAGAACATCTGTGGAAGGAAACCATTCACATTCAATAACAAAAAGAGGTTATATAAATCTTGCAGCGGGTTCGAATAGACAGGGAATGAATAGATATGATATCTCAGATGACCCCAAAGATGTTAGCACAGGTATTTTCTGTGGAACTGCAGGAAATCATACACATGTTGTAGCTGGTATTACAGACCCAGCAGGTAATGGAAAAGATTATATGCCTCCTTATATAACAATGCACGCTTGGATACGAGTTGGTTAAAATCTTTAACTTTACATAAATGAGCTTGAAAGAAGTATTCGAACAACATCCATGGAGGTCTTTTAAGAAATTCAATGAAGCTGCAAAGAGTTCGGGATTTACTAACAGAGCTGAAGTGAAAAGGTTCTTTGACAAAAATGTTGTACATCAAACAAAAATAAATCCTTACGACTACTTTTTACCAATTTACTCCAACACTCCTGACGCATACCAATTTGACACTCTCATTCAAAGCAGAAAAGGAGGACATAAACCATTCCTCATCTTCATTAATGTTAACACTCGCAAAGCTTTTGCGTATATAATGAGAAATAAAGGAACTCATGAAGTGTTAAGAGTTTTACAAAAGTTTGTAGCAGAACATAGCCCAAGTATTTTAACATCAGACCAAGACGGTGCATACCTCAGCAACGAAATCACAGAATTTCTCATTAAGCATAACATAACTCACTACACTACTGAAGACCATAACCATAACATACTCGGTATCATTAACCGCTTCATAAGGACTCTCAGAGATTTAAATCAAGAGCGAGACTTTACCGAAGAAACAATGAAACATTTCATCGAAGTTTACAATTCCTCAACACATTCTACAACAGGACATACACCAAATTCAATGACACAACAACAAGAAGAAAAGTATATACAAAAGAAACGAAGTCAAACACAAAATATCAGAAATTCAACACAATTTACCTCATTCCTGGTACAAAAGTTCGTGTAGTTCTTGACGACAAACCGTTGACAAAGAAACGTTTAAGGTTAAGTCGAAATATTATATCGTAGACTCTACGCAAGGTAATGGATATCTTATAAAAGCTGCTGACGACTCCATAGCATTTTACCCTCGTCATAAATTAGTCGAAAGTAGTAATGGCAAACTTGCTGAAACCATTGACGAAGCAAAGCGAGGAGTGGTTATTGAAATACTTGGCTATAACATAAACGATGACACTTATAAAGTAAGATATGAAGGAGGCGTTGAAGATGTTATACCATCTAAGAACTTGAGAGAATCTAAACCAACTCATCTGGGACCATTAGAGCGGGAGTACTGGAAAGATAAAAACATGCCAGAAAGAATAAGAAAATTCTTCTAAACTTTTTCGTTGGATGTAAATCAGACATGAATGAGAACAGTCATGTATTATTAATGGTACCATTTATTTTTGTCATAAATTTACACCAAAAATAATGTTTAGGTGAAGAGGTGAGATATCACCTGTTTTTTCACCTGTTTTCTCACCTCATGAATTTTCATGAAATAAAAAATAAAGTTAGTTTTATTTTTATTTATTTTTTATTTTGTATAAAAGATATGATTTCAACAATCGGCACAACAACAATTCAAGCCGCGAACGGCGGGACTCTGTCCACAACAACAGCACCAAACTCGTTAGTCATGAATCCTACGTCAATGTTAGTAGAGATGAAAAACTTCATTCCTTCTTCATATACTTTCGAAACAAAAATCCAGAAGATAAAGCAAGAACTTTTAACAAGTAATTTAGACTGTAGTGCGAAAGATGAAACAAATGAACAGTATCTTTATGAAATGCAGGACCTCATCGACCATTTACCTAAACTACCTGAAATTCAGCATCAAAAACTCACTATTCCTGAATTCGACGAAATTGAAGTCAAAACAACTGACTCAGTAGAAATAAAGAAGTTCATACGTAAAGTAAATTATGAATTCCTTGGTTTTCATTGCAACCATAAAGTTATGGACAAAGATTGCGATATGGTATATAAAAACATTTCTGACATATATAAATCTGAGGAGTTTAAGACTTACGATAACTTTGTTTCATTAGTTGCAAAATGTGTTTGGGAAATAAGAGATAAAGATAGAAGAGGCAAAGTATGGAACGAACAAATAAGACCCGCTATGTTTGAGATGAAGAGAGCAATTGACGCTTTAGTTGTTCTAGCAGGTCAAATTTCAATGTATAACGCAAAAATGAACCCGCAATGTTCTAAATGTAAGGCAGCGATGAGGAAATATAACTACTCCGTCAAAGAGATAGAAAGAATGCGAAACGACTATGCAGATTTAAAGAAAGAAGCAGAAAAGCCAGCAGAAGATAAAATGGACATGTTAGCATTTCTGAACAAAAACTATCCAACAGCAGAAGATTTCCTTCTATCTGACGTCAAGAAGAAGTATAAAGAAACTTTCGGCATTGTTAAAACATTCGATGTACTAAAAGAAGAAATAGAAGCTACAAAACTGTTTAAGATTTCAAATATACATCGTACAATTCATGTAAAACGCTTATAAAATAACTAGGGTGAAAAATTAGGTGAAAAAACAGGTGATATCTCACCTCTTCACCTAAATTATATTTTTGGTCAAAGCTTCCACGAGAGAAAAGATTCCTCATTTGCTAAGGATTCCAAAAATGAAAAAATCGTTGATTTCGGCTGAGAAAAAACGGCAAAAACCCTTCTTCCACGGGAACAAAGAAATAAAGAAGAAATAAAGTAAATTTTTTATTTATTCCCGTGGAAGATAGAGCACTTTTATGACACTTTTTATTCACGACAAACAAGACAAATAAAGAAAATAAGAAAATACGGCGCTGTCGCGGTTCGAACCACAGACCCTGACCCCTCCATAACACCACCTTAGACCACTGTGCTACGTAGCCTGTCGACATAAGATTTTATAAATTGCATATTTGACGTAAATTTATTTCCATCTGGCTTCCCACTGCATAAGATATTCATACGTGTTTGTAAGACATTCATTAAACTTCTTTTCTATTGCATCTAATCTTGCGTTATTTTTTTCAATAACTTGTCTGTATTCTTCATCATCTCCAGCAGTGTTTGGGTCTTCACGTTTAAAATATTCATTGTTAACCAATTTTTTATCTACAAATTTTATTAGTGTTTGATTCACTTCGTTATGATAACGGTCATATTCTTTCAATACGTAAGTGAAGACAAAATGCGTCGTACCTTCAATCTTAAAGCTTAAAGAACTTTCAACACAGTTTTGAGGGTCTGTCAGTGCGTCAATGAGATAGTATTCGAAGTCAGTCAATAATCTTTTTAAAGTCATTTCATACAGGATAAAATTTAATGTTGTGAAGAAATAGTGTTTATCTCAAAAAAAATAAAGTTAGTTTTTATTTTATTTATTTTTTTATCCTGTATGTAAAGACAGATATGTCAACATTAGAGAACACAACAACTGCTATCGTTCATGAAGCCATAAATGAAGAATACGAATACATACAGTATAACAAACAGTTACGTCTCATTCGTTCAGTCAAAGATGACATGTACCAAATGCAAAGTATAATGAATGCTCTTCAGTCTACAAAGCAAGCATATCATTGGTTTGAAAACCAACAGACAAAAGAACTTTTAGAAGAATTTCCTCATATGATTGCTTCCCTCGGAAAACCGAGAGAAGAGATTCCGTACGAAAATCGCAAGAATTTGGCTCCTGGTTTGAAAGGTTATTATGTTCATAGACTTTTAGTAAATGCTGTAGCAATGTGGGCTTCACCTCGTTACGCTTGTTATATTTTCATGATGTTAGATGAACTATATAAAGCAGAACGTGGAGAGATGGAAAAGAAACTTCAAGCAAAAGATGAAGTCATTGAATCCAAAGACAAAAGCATACAGAAAAGAATACCGCGTTCAGTACCAAAAGGAAAGGAAAAGAGTTATAAGTATATGATATATACTGAAGAGTTGGAGAATGAAGAAGACAGAGATATGGTTATGTTGCATTTAGTCAGAAGAAACAACAAAAGCTTTTATGACCTTGCTAAGATTTACAAATCTGACAGAAACTGGTTCTATCGTGAAAACTTACCGATTTCAATGACACCGAATGAGCAAATAAAAGAAATTGTCAAAAATACTCTTCCTCAAACACACTATGACATCAAAGGTTGCACAATACTTACATTCAAAGAAGACTTACCATTACTGAAGGAAAAAATAACAGAATATTTCGATAACTTCAAAGAGGAAGAATGAAGTCACGACAACATTAACGAAGAAGTCACGACAACATTAACGAAGAGAGAATGAGGTGAAAAAACAGACCCAAAGGGTCAGAGCCGCAAAGCGGCTAGGTGAAATCTCACCTCTTCACCAAAAATATATTTTTGGTTAAATAGCTTCAGGGTCAATTTCTTCAACCATTTCACTTCCTTCGTCAATGTCAATAGAAGCTTCTTCAACCTTTGGTAAGAACTTTTGTATAACATCTTTGTTCGTTATTGTCTTCAGAGATGAAGGATAATATTTCACAGATGTTTCACCCTTCTTATATTCTTTCTGTTCGGAAAGATTCATAGCAATACTGAAGAAGTCAATGTTGGAGTTCTTTATAACAGTATAATGAGTATCTTTGACATTCACGAAGAAACCCTTTTGTTTCAAAACTACTGCTAACTCTTGTGAAGTATAACGTTTGCGGTCAATGACAATAGCTAATGGTCTGACATACTGACCAAACTTAGATTCTTTCACAAACTTCTTGTTAAAGATAACATTAACGTTTGAAGCACCATTGAACTCATTCTTGATGACAGTAGCGAGAGCATTGTATGAAAAGAACTTGCAATCTTGCATGTGTTTCATTAAAATAAAAATATTAAATTATTTTGAAAAATAACTTAAAAAAATCTAATCTAATTTTTTAAAAAATATTTTTTTATTTCCTACTAAAGATGTATCGGAAGTTGTCTAAGTTAGAACACTCGGAAATAAAACAACTTCTTACAGAAGCTAATATAGAAGTAGCAAAGCATTACGCAACAAACAAAAAGGCACTCGCTGACTTCATTAAAGACTATAATGGTGCAATAAGTTATGATAGAATTCATGAGTTCATAAAGCCGCAACGCGGCGAGGACGAAGTCCATGCAAGAGCATTTCCTTTAAATGACATTGCTATTGACTTATATCATAGACGTTCAGTACCTCATGAAGTAAGAAGAGAAATGTTTGACATAACAAATGCGAACGTTGGTCATACTCGTAAAGCTCTTTCGCATGATGTTCGTCAAGAAATGTTTGACATAACAAATGCAAACGTTGGTGAAACAAGAAGAAGAGACGACACACTGAAACAACAGAGAAGAGAGATGTTTAAAAGTGCTATAGAACAAGTTCGCAAAGCTAACGATGTCATTCGTTCCATTGACGACAAACCAAAAGAAGGTGAGAGATGGTTAAAGAAAGATGAAGAGAATAGGAAGAGAAATGTGAAGTCAGGCAATAGACTCATTGACTTTAACATCGAAGCTTTAGATGAACCAAACAGAGACTACTTACACAAACATTTCGGTAAGGTTTTCATGAGACTCTTAGAGAAATTAAAATAAACTCACAACAAAGATGGATGGTATGTTATAAACTTGGTGGAAAGTATGAATGTTCTACGTTAAACCTCAATAATATTGGAACATTACTACATCAGCTCTTGAAGGAGAACTTTATATCAGAGATAGAAGCAAATGCTGCAGGTATTGTTGAAATGCACTATGACTTCTTCTTGACAAACATAAAGAATCTTACTGAAATAAAGATGTATGATTTAACAGAATATGAAGGCTTAACGATGTCAGATGTAAAGAAAGGCAAACCAAAAAAGAGACCATATAGAGATGAAAGCACACTGACAAATGACCAGAAAGCCATTTTGGAAGCTCTTAAGCAAACAGGAAACCCAGCACTTATAGAAAGCTTTTGGAAAGATAATGGTGAAAAGAAGTTTTATAAGAAGAGAAGCGGTCAGTTATGGAAGTATCTTTGCACATTACCTATAAATCTTGAACGCTACCAAATCTTCAATGAACTGAACAAAAGAACTGCAATACTTATGACAGAGGACAATTGTTTCGTTTATGCTTGCATTCAGGCTGGAGTAAATGAAGAAACTATTGACCACATGAGAGAAGTCATTCGTGTTAGAGACTTTCCTCAAAGTAAAGTACAAGAAATTTCTGACGCAACAGGTATAGCATTTAATGTTACCATTGGTTATTTCAATGACTCAAGACATAATGAAATAAAGAGATATATACCAAAAGAATGCGAAACTGTTAGAACTATTGACTTACTTCTTGTTGAAGACCACTACATGCTAAATGAAAGACTTCCAATGACAACATACTTCATTCGAAACTATAAAGAAATTCTCAAAGCTTGTGGTGGAATGAACATTGAGAAACAGATGAAGATTTATACAAAGAGAGAAGATAAATATGTAGTTCGTTATGATAGAACAACACCGTTATGGGATGTTATGAAAACATTGTGGGAGTGCAAATATTTCGAACCTATTTCTTATGGAGAACTTTTCACATATACTACTGACTTATATAAACAGAACCTTGCACCATTTAAAGATTTGACATATGCTCCAAAGTATTGTGTACAACTGAAGAAGAAAGCAGAGTCAAAAGAAGTAAATAAAGCTAAATGTAAATTCATTCCTGAGCACGTTTTCTTTGCTGACTTTGAGTGTAGTACGGATGGCTTTCATAAAGCTTTTAACATCTGTTATGACAGTGAAGATGGTTCAGTGAGTGAAAGCATTTGGGGTCAAAACTGTGCAACAGAATTTTTGGAAAGACTCCCTGACAAGAGTTTAATATATTTTCACAACCTCAGTTATGACATAAACTTCATCTTAAGACACATGACAGAAGTGAAAGGAACTCCCATCATTAAAGGTTCACGAACAATGCAAATAACTGGTTTATATAAAGGACGGGCAATTATTATAAAAGACTCTTACAGTGTTATAAATAAGAAGCTTAAACTATTTCCTGCTATGTTTAACTTACAAACAGGACCGAAAGAAGTATTTCCATATAACTACTACAGCAGTGTTTTGTTAGCAAATGACAACAGAACTGGTGTCATTTCTGAAGCATGTAAGTTTATCCGGGATGCAGATACATTTATGAAAAACATAGATTCCATCAAAGGTTGCAGAATAGATGAGAACCACTTCGACTTAGAAAAATATAGCACGTTTTACTGCAAACAAGATGTAAGAATTTTAAGAGAAGGTTTTGTAAAGTTCCGCAATGACTTATTGAAAGAGTTTGATTTAAACGTTTATGACTACGTTAGTATTTGTTCAATTGCTAACAAATTGTTTGAGAACAGAGTATACTTCCCGAATGGAAATCTTTATGACCTCTCAAATAAACCAAGAGAATTTATTTCGAGATGCATTCAAGGTGGAAGATGTATGTTGTCAGATAACATGAAACAAAAGAGCAAAAAGAAACTCATTGCTGACTTCGACACTGTTTCATTATATCCTTCAGCTATAGCAAGACTTTATACTTTAGAAGGTATTCCAAAAGTATTGAAGGAAGAAATGTTAAACACAGAGTATCTCATGAGACATTTATTCGATGATGACCAAAAGGAACCCATTGGTGAAAAGTTTATGTCTGGCTTCTTTGTTCTCATTAAGATAACAGAGATTGGTATACCCAGACACTTTCATTTAATAGTTTGCGACCCTGAACTAAATCCAGAACTTAACGTTCCAAGAAGTTCAAACACTTGCTGTCTCATGTATGTTGACCATATAACATTACAAGACCTCATAAAATATCAAGGTGTCAAATGTGAAGTGTTGCAAGGATACTATTACGATGGAAACAGAGATATGAGAATAAGAGATGAAGTAAAGAAGTTGTTTGAGTTAAGGTTAAAGTATAAGAAAGAAGAAAACCCCTTACAAGAAATTATAAAACTCATTCTGAACAGCATTTATGGCAAAACTATTCTATCTCCTATTGAGTCAAAAATAACCATAGTAGATGACAAAGATGCTATAAGATATGCTATAAGAAATTACAACCATATAGTGAAGTTCGAAGGTTTGGATGGTTCAGATAAAACTATTTTCAAGCTAACGAAAAGCATTTGCAGACACTTTAACTTCTGTCCACTTGGTGTTAATATTCTGTCTATGTCAAAACGTATTATGAATGAAGTATTCTGTACTGCAGAGGACATGGGACTTCAAATATTTTACCAGGATACCGACAGTATGCACTTATATAATGAAGACATCCCAAAGCTTGCAGCAGAGTTTAAGAAGAGATACGGTAGAGAACTTATAGGAAAGAACCTTGGTCAATTTCATAGCGACTTTGCAGAAATAACACCTGGAAAACAAAGTTTAGCTTATAAAAGTATTTTCTGTGGAAAGAAGACCTACATAGACTTACTCACGAATGATTTAAATGAAGTTGCATTTCACTGCAGAATGAAAGGCGTGAAGCAAGATGTTATTGCTTTAACCGCTAATGAAATGTTTCCTGAAGCTATACAATGCTATTACAATGAAGATAAGAACATTCACATACCTGTTGGAACATATGACAAAGACTCTGAGTTCAGTTTAATGAAACTTTACAAAGCACTTTATGATGGTCAAGAGATTGCATTCGACTTATGTAAGTCATGTCAACCTTGCTTTGCTGAAAAGTTCAACTTTTCAATAACGACTAAAACAAGCTTTATTCGTAAGTTGAAGTTCTGAGGTCATTTATTTTTGTCAGCAATGAGGTCATTTGTGATAAAAATAAGCCGCTAGCGGCATGGGCGAAGCCTATGTGGTCATTTACAATACAGCTATTGTAGAGTTTAACAATTGTGCTTCAATGTAGAGACAG